ATGAATAAGGCAGATCCAGCCCAGTGTAAAACTGGGCTCATAGCATAAATTATTTTTTGGTCCTTGAATATATGAAATATTGTAAAAAATCTTTTTAGAAAAAAAAAAATTTTCGGGGCCCTTTTTTATGCAAAAGTCAACTAATTTTTTTTTTAAGTATTGGGGCCCTGTGCAAATGCGCTCCTTACATAGGGCCTGGACCAGGCTTGATGAAAGGAATTTCGTATACGTGAGGATATCAATAAGGATCGCATTAAAAACACATTAGCAATCGTGATTGCAAAGATGGCAAAGATGACTTCATCTGAAATCTAAACAAATTAAATACGAGGCTAATAAAACAAGAAAAAATTATGTTTCCCATAAAAGTTACACGTAAACATGTCAAACTCATACAAAAGGAAAACAAATAATTAAAACACATTTGAAACAAATAAACTGTAAAAAAATTCATTATAATTAAGGTATAAATGAATTTTTATTAAAATTTAAAATACAAACTCCATACGAAATATGCTCCGGTTTTAAGATGCATGATGTGAAGTCTAAACAAATGAGTTAAAGGCTATTGTTATATAAAATTGGAATCCGCAAAACTTATTGATCACACGGTTTCAAAGATTACAAACTTTGAAATGGATCGATGAGTGTCACATAAAGGTGCGGAAAGCCTTTATGATAAAATCACTAACATAAGCCTCAAGGAATCCATCAGGTGAAGAGATTTAACACGTTTTCCTGGAATTAAGAATCCACTTAATTGAAGAGGGACAAAATGGAACACAAGCACAAAGCTTACATAGAGTAATCTTGGTTTCTATTTAATTAAAGTCTAAATACATATGCTACAATGATCTAAACATTATAGGCTCACCTCTAATGATCTGAAAACGTTCTAAAGCATAAAAATGGAAAGAGAATACACGAAATTTAAGCAAGAATAAACCACTAACAAGAAATCTATGACATATCAAACTATTATATATTTTGGTTCAAGTTTGGATTATTCAATTTTGATTTGGTTCAATTCATATATTTTGTCTATCTTTTAGTGAAACACATTCCTATACAAAAACAATGGCGAATTCAAATACAAGCAAACAAATCTCAGATTTATTATTATAATAATATTAGCCATAGTTGACGAAATAATTTCTACAATAACCTACAATTGGTTTCTATAACTAAAACTATACTAAATTTCATTCTAAACATTTCATTATGCATATGGTAAAAAAATAGTTTTTATTATATATAAATCATAATCTTAATTCTAAATAAACTATTTTATATATATTATTTAATAGTGCAAAGCACCAGACCTAGCCTTGTTTATTTAAAAGCAAAAGGTTTGACACATTTAAAAATAAAAAAATCTATAGCTGTTGTGAATAGAGAGAAAGAGAATGGGAAAATTCGTATCTTCTTTCATTAATCAAGTATCCTTTATATAAAGATCAATACATGTGATAAAAGGAAGTTTCCTTTTCCTAAGAGAAAAGGAAGTTTTCTTTTCCTAAGAGAAAAGGAAATTACTTTCTTTTTCCTAAAGAGAAAAGGAAATTACACTATGACTAAGTATAGATGGGCCGGACTAGGCTATACTGGACCAGAACTGGTTATGACAATCCACTATGATTTATAACA